TAACTATGGTACTCATGAAAATTAACCTAACGAGAAAGTGATAGGTAGGTAATATAAAAATATTTTATATTTTAACGATTTATCATAACATTATTATACAATTAACTATWTAATTAAAAACAAAAGTTTAATAACATAAAGTCATCTTAGAATAGCATAAAATGGTGTTCAGTTAGTTTACTTTGAAATTTGATAACATAATCTCGGACTATGGTCCATTTYATGTAACCATACATACCTAACACATRCCTAAACGTAAAATATGACCATTGACCATGCTTAGAACACGTTTCTTTGTCATTGTTACCTAAAGGTTTCTATTTTGACATACTAATTTTTATTGGTCATTGGTCTTCGATAATAGTGCGTGGTCATTGCAATTATAGTTCAGTATTAGAAAGACAATGTCAAACACCGTCACATCTACTAATAATCGATTTAAATACTCAAACTTTAATTTTTAAATTTTTTAAATAATATGTATAAACTTAAATCATTATTGGTCTATTTAAATGAATATAATTATTTTAATTAAGCTCCTTATTGTTAAATTGCGTTCAAATCTAATAGGCAATAGCTATACTGCTAACAATTTAAAATGTAGGTATATACATTGACAATATAGTAATATAATATGTATATAATAATATCAAGATAAAATAATTTTATTTTTTAACTATTTATTCAAAATCCGGTTGAAAATATATTTTATTTATTAATATTAAACTATTAACATTAATTTTCTAATAAAATATTAATAAAAAAATAATACATCATAAACACAATATACTTACGTTATAATTTATAAGCCAACATATTTAATGCAAACCAAAAGAGCTTACGGTATAGTTACGAATTACTTAAACTATTAATCAAGTTTTTCAACAACGAATTGACAAATATTTAAATTTCAAAACCATTTTAGGTTATGAAATTATGTTAAATGTTAAATTGCAAAAATTAAAAATATTATTCAAACACTTAATTGTGTCATAAAAATGTGTATTTAATATTTGTATCTTTTACATTATGCAGAATCATAAATTTGAAATTTGTCTCAAATTTAATATTGAATTTTTATGAGATGGATCTAATAAATTTTTATTTTTATTTGTGTGTTAATTATTAGGTATCTACTGAAATTATTTAAGTATCCCTAAAGATTAAGTGTAGTTTATAATAATAAGTCCTCGATCCAGCAAGTTACATAGTGCAATATTAACATTATAAATGATGAACGCGTATCATTGTTTCTATTAAAAATGTAATATTTAATAATCATAGTTTATAGTTTATTCTAATATGTAATTAATTATATGCCATACACAAAATTAATACATGGTTAGGTTGAAAATACGAGTACTTCCAGAATAAAAGTCATTGTACCTCATAATATAGTTAGTAGTTATCTATTTAAATTAAAAAGTCCAATAGTTTGAACAACTTTCAAATATTCAAGATTTATAGTTCAAGTTTTAAAACTATAATGTTTTTACAATATCAATAATATTATTGTCAGTTTACAATTTGTTATGAAAGATATAAAACGATACTAATTATTATTGTCCACGCTTGATTATATAAGGCAGTTTAAAATTAATTATGCTTGTCGCGTTAAATGTGATGTACAAACATTTAGAAAAGAAAATAGACTACCTAAAGTAGGACACACAGATTTTTATCAAACAAGACATACCAATTTTAATAACCTTTTTAAAGTGCTAACATCGAACTCAATGTCAAATCTATAAAGTATTATTAAATAAATAACTTGGTTCTAATTTTTAATTTTTCTGATTTTATTTAATTTTCAATYTTTATTCAAGTTGATTTAATATTTTTTAAACTCTTTTTTAATTTATTTATAAAATTTTCAATTGTTATAAAACTTTAAAAAAGTTATAGGCTGTAAAAAAAATATTCATTTATCCAATTTAATTAACATTTTAATATAAATACTTATTTAAATATTGCGACTTACAAGGTTGTTATTCTTATAATTGTTACCTTATTGATAATTTTTATTTGGATTACTGTATGCGTTGATAAATGGACTTTAACAGGCTTTTATAGTTTAAATGGTAACAGTTGTCAATGTTGAAGTAATAATTAAAATATAATATTATTATTATTTAAATAAATTCGAAGTATCCTCATCCCAGCTTCTGGACTTAAATTCTCCGAAAAATGAACTTAATTAACAAAATAAAGAATAACAAAATTAATGATTTTTAGAATTCAAATAAACGATTCTTTTTGMAACACAGTACACTTTGGTATCAATATTCCGCGTTGGTTATCTGAATAATTGTATGAGAATTCCAAGTTCTAGACATATTATTATCGGTGAGTACCAATAATTCCTGATGCAATATTTATTCTTTTTTAACTATGCGAATAGCCATTGTTCAATATAACTATATATGTGTCTTATGTACCTAACAATATTTGGCTATGATATTTGATCAAATTATTAAACGATCTGTAATGGACTTATAATTTGTCAATGAACGCCGTACGGTACTGAGGTAGACATATTATAGTCACGATTGCCACCTCTCCGGGTTTCACAGGATAATACAGTTTTACATATCAATCTATGGTTTAAGGCGGGTAAGATCTTATTTTAGTCGAATTGAACTTGGGTTAAAAAAAAGGTAATGGATGAACTGTGCTCACGTAAAAATAGGTTATGATCAAACTGCAGTAGGGTAAGCAGATAATGTTCCAACTGCATTCAAATTTAAAAAGCTTCAACTCATTTCCCTTTTCCTGCTTACAGGCTTAGGACTAACAATGATTTTAATCATTAGTGTGGTTAAAAATTAGTTTTTGCAAACATAATATAATTTTATTATGCTAATATAATATACATATTACATATTGTAAAGTAAATGTGTAATATTTTTTTTTTTTAAATAATTTTATTAAATAATTAATATATTATACTTATAATTTACATTATAGTAATATACTGTGTACACAATTAAAAAGTAAAATAATAATAATTACATTTTAAGAAGAAAAGAAATTAGTGTTTTACAAACATATAAATTAACTTTATTTTTTAAATATTTTTTTCAATCCCCTTGTTTGAACCATAGTGCAATTCGACTATCCCAGCTACGGGTTCAGTGAATTGTCTCCGGGTGAAATAATGTTTTGGTCGTTGTAAAATAAGTACATTATATCATATGCCATAAGATTAGATAAAATGCGATTTATTGCGACTTGTTATACAATATACATACATTCAATTTGAACAGTAAACTACTAAAAAAAAAATGTGATTATATTAATATTTCTTTACATTTAATTTTCATTCCATACACTAAGCTATATCTTATAGTATTATATATATCACATTTGCATGCCTTTCCGATAACTTACAGCTATTAATTTAGTATTAAGTACTTCAACACAAATTTGTAACGACTGTGATAACAAAATGAATACCCCTTTGTACTACAATCTATTTTAATGATATTTAATTCAAAATATCACACAAGGAAATTGTAATACCTATTGTCTTTAATACAATCTAATGTTCGTTCATATAGTGGATTTGATCGTAATATAACATGCACACACACACACACACACACACATGACACATCTAGAGTCTTACATTCGTATTTATTCAAAACTTAATTCGGTAACTTATACTGAAAATATTTGAAATATTTAAAATTGTTAACATGTAACACATACCCCAAGGCATATGTATAAACGTTTAAACGAAATTCCTATAGGAAATAGCTAATAAATTCTAAAAACTAATTTATAAATACATTCAATCATATTATATTTTTG